AATGGGTCTTAAACCTCGGTGAGCAAAATATTAAAAAAATCGGGGCCATTGTACCTTGTAGAACACTAGTTCAATTGAGTGCCAGCCAGGGGAAAAATAGCAGGGCAGACACCAGAGATTCGCTGATGTCATGTTATATTAACACTCCTCTTTTAAGAAGAAAGTGATGTTGACCCAGAGTTTAGTGGCTTTGAGATGGATGTGGCCAAAAAGTGGTTGAGGAAATATAAAAAAACCTCGATAATAACCCATGTGCAACATCCTTTCATTTTTGATACCACTGAAGTGTCATCCTGCCAGAATGCCCTATAACGTATGCCCTAAGTAAAGAGAAATGATTCTGGAACACGTGTAATACATATTCGGCAGGCTAGCCAGCTGGCTGGCTGTTTTTGGGCCCTCTATCTGTATCTCTGTTGTCTGTCTATATATCTGCCCTTTCTCACAGGTACCACAATTAAATTTATTATACATAGTGTAAATTATCTGGGAAAACCCCAAAAAAAATTCAGGAAAAGTGCTATACAGTGCTTGTAGTTTATAAAGGCATAATAAAATGACTGGCAAGCAATAGACAGACAGACAGCACAGACATACATGTTTGTATGCAACGTGAAAACAATAAAGCCAGGGTTTCCTGAAACATGCACGACATCAAGTGTCACTTCACTGCTGCACTGTCAGCAGTGAAGTGAAACTCATCTTACAGTAATAATGAAACCATGCTTCAAGGAGTTTCAATATACTCCAGCATGTCTAAACATTGCTGGGACCTATAGATACTTTGTATATACGTAAAAATATTTCTAGACAATATAAGTGACCAAGGAGGTGAAAATATTCACCTGTCAGTGTGTTGTGACTATCTGAGTACTATTTCAGTACCAAATATTAGTGTCAGAACAAAGACTTGTTGAAAAAGAAAAAAAAAAATTATACGAATTTAAAAATAAAACGAGGAAAAAAGGTTTATCCCGGGCAACACTTCTGTAAGTGGCAGGGGCTCCTGTTGCCATCAGGTGAGCAACCAGTGCCAACTTTGGGAGTCCCTTTTATCTTGGAAAGTACTGATCCTAACTTTTTTTTTTTTTTGATCTTTTTACACACAGAAAATTCCCCTCTTTAATTTAATTTTTTTTTTTTTTTCAAAATTTTTGGGAGTGGGGCGGGAAAAACTAGATCTATGAAATGGCTTTTTAAGGGTCAAGACTGGTTGGTTGGGGGTCATCTACTACACCAGAGTTGTTAAGACTGTTTGGGTTTTAAGGGGGTTTAAAATCTATCTGTACAAAAGGGGCCACAAAGACTGCTTTTTGGGTTAAGGGGGGTTTAAAACCTATCTACTGTGTGAGGGGTCATTAAGGCTGCAATCCCTTACACCACTATTTAAGAATATTTAATACCTAAAAATGTTTTTTTTGTAACTACCAGTATATATACACTAAGAGATATACCCCCTTTAGGCACATACACTGACACAATAAAAAACATACCTCTTGTAATACAGTGTGAAACATCTTCATGTACAATACAGTAAACATTCATCCTCAGTCTTTATACAACGAGACACACACACACCTTTCATGTAATTCAGGACACAATTGAACTCTCGTGTATACCACTGAGAGACAAAACCCCTCTTGCTATGTATAGGGAACCTCGGCACTCAATTTTAATTGGTTCCAGAAGGCTGTTTGATGCAATCTGAGTACGGAAAAAATTTTCCCCAAACCAATTTTTTTTTTGGTTGGCTTTTTATCACTAACCCTCTTGGGCCCCGGTGACTTACTTATACAAATAATATAAAAAAAAAACACCAAAAAGATGCAATGAAACAAAATAATTTCAGTAAAATTTTTTTGGCGGTCAGTTTGTTTGGTAAGTGCCGAACAAAGGGGTCGACTAAAAAGGGATCCTTTACTGGACAAAGTGTTCGAAAGCAGTTTTCAAGTCGGAGCTGTTCTAGTAGCCCCCCTCAAGGAAGGTTTCCCTTTGATTTTGGTGAGGGCTTTTGATTTAGGAATTGGAACGTGCCCCAGTTCCCCCGAATTAACCTGAATCCCTTTCCACATCCCCCCCCCCAGGTTTGATAACCCCCGGGGTTTTGCACTTCCCCCTTATTATAATAAAAATATTATGTTCTAGTAGCAAGATCCACTGTAAAACACGAGAGACATCACCCCGCATTTTGGGGCTCATTCCCTTTACATTAAAAACCAAAAACATTTTTTTTAATTTTTGCTTGTACTGTGTTTAGAGACAGTATACAAAATCAATAAAAATTTCAGTGCACTGGAAAACCCTCAAAAATAAATTTCCCAAAGCAGCAGCAGGAAAAAAAATTACCCAAAAACTTTGGGGCGAGCATAATAGAGTTCCTGGCTAGCTCTTTGGGAAAAATTAGCCCCGGGGGACCCTCAACCCCGACACAAAAATTTTGTTTTTTATTAAAACATTTTTACGCTCTATACAAATTTTTCCTGTAAATCATCCCAAAAGTCAAACTACAAAAGGGTAGTGTTCATTAAAATGTACAGACAAAAAGAAATTAAAATTCAAAATCAAAGTGATTAGGTTTTAATAAAAAAAAACAGCTTTTAAGCATTCCAACCATTTTCATACGTGGAAAAGTATAGAGCATTTTATATAAAATTCCAAAAAAAGTAAAATACTTTTCTCCCACTTTACACTTTCCGACGAAAACCCACAAACATTCGAAACACGACAATTTTCCTGACTAACAGGGGGTTTAACATCCAATAATGTATAAAGGGATTTATCTGCCATAATGTATAATGGCATCTCTTTCACATGGCCAATTAAAAAAAAATATAGTAAATTTAACCCAAAACAAAAATTTAACTTTTTTTTTCAATACAGTCGTAAGACTTTGAAAAAGCTCCTCATATGCAGTCCCCTCTCATAAAGCCCTTTCATATAGGAGTTTTTGTACAAACAATAAAAGGCTGTTTAAAAGAGCATGTACAATGAAAAACTTTTTCACAGGCTCATTTTCAATTACCTTTGCAATCATGACAAATTTCACTATATATATATATATGAGCTTTATAACAGAGCTCACTATATACAAAAAACAAAATTAACAATGAGACAACAATAAAAATAACACAAAAACTGTCATATATATATTTTGACAGCAAACAATTTTCACAGTATAAATAAAAATTAAGAGCCATGGTTGAGATTTTTAAAATTAAAAATAAAAATTGTATTAAAAAAATTTCCATTTCACACAAACTCTAAATAAAATCTGTAGAAAAAGTAACAGCGTCTCAGGGAGCTCTCTCTCTCTCTCTCTTGCACTCTTTCTTGCTCTTCCTCACTCTCTCTTGCTCTGCCTCTCTCTCACTGTTTCTTGCACTCTCTCTTGCTCTTCCTCACTCACTCACTCTTACAGCAAATCTACATTACATTATCTTCCTCACCAAACGTTCCCATCAAGCATATAAGGTATAGCCATTTCAATATACACAAAAATTTCTACAACTTATTTTAAGTTCGAAACATTTAAAATATACCAAACGTGATTTTGGAAACAAAATGGTATCTTTTATTACAAATACGTTTTGTGACCAGACACCTTACTGTAAGAGTGGGAAATACAGTCAGTTCTCTTATAAGCTCCTGTATATACAGTCACCTCTCTTATAAAGCTCCTCTATATAGCACGATTTCTTTTTTTGGAAATGCGACTAAGAGTCCATCAACAATTACATAGATACTACTGAAGGCTTTTCCGTGTGTTATTCAATTTTTGGTGTACTTTTTTTTTCAGCCACGTTCCCAAAAAATCGCAATGTACAACCAGGCCTTGATCAGTGTGAATGAGGGCTCCTGTGAGTGAGCGTACTGTGGGAATTTGCACTAATCGAACTGTATGTAATTTTTGTGCACTATTTGAAGAGCTGAGGGGAAGGGAAACTAGCAGCATTTAATTTTGCACTAAATAAAAATTCACACTATTTGAACATGTACTAATCTAGACATGGCTGTATAGAACTTCATAAAAAAAACTTAGTGAACTTTCCAGTCACATCTGCACAAAGTTGCAGTATACAGAAGAGCTTTATAAGAGAGAACTCCCTGTATTCATTCCTGCTGGGCTATGGACGTACCGGGCAACACTGGCAGCTTTGCCAGAATCAAAGCGGCCGTTCGCTTGGCAGTCGAGATGTTAAACGAATGAACGTTCCTATTGCTATACAAATGTACAGAGCTTGGTGATCCATGAGTGTCATTTTCAGCACAAGTTTCCTAGGAGTGCCAACCTGTAAAACCAATATACTATTTCTATATACAGTCAGCTCTCTTGCTAAGCCCCTCTAGTGCGATTATTTTTCTTTTGTGAATGGGACCCAAAAAATGCGCTAAAAACTGAACACCGTATTATAAAGATTTTTCAAAGTGCTGCTCAATTTTCAGTGTATTTTTTCAGCCTTATTTATGAAAAGCTACGGAGAGAAGGTTTATAAGAGAGTTTACTGTACCGCTGAAAACGTCACTTATAAAAGTATATAAGTGGGAACATATGATGTACATTATATACAATAGCCTGAGTCTCAACAAAGATAGAACTATATACAGTGTATGGCTGTGTAAAGTGGTAATATATTACCAGAGCTCACTGAAATACATTCATTCATCTTAAATGCCAATTAAACCTATGTAGCATTATGTCTATTCAATTTTCTAAGAACTCACAAAAAAATCTATCACAAGCTATCAAGATCTATCTACTGAAGTTCATGACTGAATTCACTTGACGCATCGCGCTACAAATGCAATCGTAAAAGGCTGCTCATGGCACTTGTAAAAACTGAAAATATATTGTATTGAAAGATACCCAGAGTTCTATCATCCATCGGACAAGGAATATAAAATGTAAAAATGAATTTTTTTTCACTGTGTGGCATTAAAATTGTGGATTAATTCAAATACCTATATTATAAGGTTGAAAATCCACATTGAAATCACATTTTTTTCATCCTTAAGGATAAACTTTGTGGGATAAGCACTTGTGTTTTTTGTATAGTATCGATCACACTATTTTCATATACATGAGAATCTCTGATTTCATCAGAGATTGACTTTCGCGAAGTGTATCAAAAACATAGAACTGAATTTCTTAGAAAAAAATTTAGGATGTCTTTTCCAGCTTGGTGTGGATTTTTACATTATTTACATGTTATAAGCAACATATATAGGGTCGAGCTGGTCAGCCAGGAAACCATCCCGAAGGTGCATGCGTTGCTTCTCCCCGCGAGAGTTGATGGGCACCACGCCGGGGTCGACTACTACGATAACACCGACAATGATCTGATGTTCCTCCAGGACGGACGAGGTGATGAGTGGCACGAGGTCGAGAGCTTCATACTCAGCCCCGTCCAGCTCCACTACCACCACTAACAAGTTGGTCCAGTTGAACACTGCACATTCCGATATTTTTTTGTGGCATCGCATCACCGTCATCTCAATATCAATGGGATGATAACGCATTCCCCGCAGGATAACAGTCTCGTCTAGTGCGCCGACAACAAACACTGCATCGTGGAGCTCCCCGTCAGCCTGGACCGACTCAGTGCGGCGGAGAAATCCAAGGTAGCCGGTGCGAGCGTACGTCTCTCCGGTGTTCCCCGTCACAAGCTGAGCATTGAAGTGGTCATTAGCAGTGCCGTCATCACCATACACTGTAAAGTAGCCACTGGCATTGTGATTACACTGGACCCATATCTCACCAAGGTGAGAATCAGAGCACTGTCCTTTAGTGTCAGGATTAGCAATGACCACCTTCACTCCTGGTAGTAATTTCCCTGACTCCATGATACACAGAGAGTGGGGAGCCCCTCTCTCAACCAGCGTCACCCTGTCGTGTCGTAGGGACCTGAGATCAACGTACACAGTCGTTGGGTCGGGAGGATGCCCCTT